GGCCTTGAGGCGGCCCGCGGCCACCACAGGGGCGCCGCCAACAGGAGGCCGGCCCGTCAAGACGTCGCCGCCGCCGCCGCCGCCGCCGCCGATGCCGCCGCCGCCGTTGCCGCCGACACTGCCGCTGCCGCTGTCGCCGCTGCTGCCGCTGCTGCCGCCGCCGCCGTTGCCGCTGCTGGCGGCGGCAAAGACATCGCCGCCGATCCAGCAGCAGCAGCCCTCGGCGCCGACCCCGGCAAATGTGAAGTCAAAGGCGGGCCCCTTGGCGCCGCTGCCGGCGCTCACGCCCGGCGCGGCGCTGATGGCCACCTGCTCATCGGCCACCGCGGCGCAGGCGCCGCCGGCTGTGGGGGCCGAGAAGATCTCCAGGTCCAGGGGGACGCCCATGAAGAAGGACAGGGAGCCGCCGCCGACCACGCTGCCGAGACCGCTGGGGCCCGCCGCCGCCGCAAAGCTGAAGGGCTCCTCGGGCGCCTGCCGCCAGGGGTTGAAGGGCGCCTCGCCGGCGGCGGCGAAGAAGGCGTCGATCTCGTCGGCAAACGCGGCGTCGTACGCGCCGGGCGCGGCGCTGATGCTGTCCTGCTCGTCCACCACGACGGGGCAGTCGGGCCGCGGCGCGGGGGCGCCGCCGGCGCCGTCGTCGCCGCTGCAGTCAAAGGGGATTGGCCCCAGCAGCAGGCCGCCGTCGTCGTAGCACAGCTCGTCGTCACTGAAGCCGGCGCTCAGCAGCCGCGCGCGGTGGCGCTCGTTGAAGTAGGCTAGGTCCTCCTTGCTGCTGAAGTCGCCGCCGCCGCTGGGGCCGCCGGGCGTGTCGGCGATGCCGCAGGAGGGCACCTGCGGGGAGAGGCGTGCAAACCAGGACCTGGGCAGTGGCAGCGAGGGCTGGTCGGCGGAGTCGGCGCTGCTGCGGCTGCTGCTGCTGGCACCAAACAGGTCTGTGGAGCTCATGGCGCAGTCATCATCAAAGCAGCTGCTGCCAGAGGCCACGGAGGCCTCGCATGGGGTGATCGGGTCCCGCAGTGCATCGTGGGCGTCAAAGCAGGGGGTGCCGGTGGCATAGTGGCGAAAGCCACTGTTGTTGAAGAGATCGTAGAGGGCCATGATGGTGGCGAACTCGATCGTAGGGGACCAGCGTCGTGTTGCCACGCGATGATCTTGTTGGGTTGCTGGTTGACTGCTTGCAGGAGGCTTTGGGTCCTTCCAGGTAAACTGAAAGTGAACGATGTTATGGAGGGTGTGCGCTAAATATGGCCGGGGTGGGATCTGAGCGGTCTCATTGCGGTTTGACCAAACTCGAACTCTCAGATCGGGGGAGTTGGCGTCGTCGTGGGCTCCTGAAAGCTAACGAAGCACTCGTCAGGGTTGAGGGGTCACATGCCGTCGAGGATTGTGGGGCCCTGGGTGATCTGGGCGCAGCGGGTGACGTGGCGCGTCGCTGCGGGCGGTGGCGCGCAGGCGTACGCATCGCTGTGGAGTGTGTGTCTCCGGATGTCAACGGTATGCTAGGATACAACCATGGGCATATGTTGTCGCTGCACCCCTTCCTGTGTCCATATGGTGCATATACTGCAGCAGCAACACAATGCACCTCTTGCCCGGTTTGCACACCCAACCGGGGTGGGGCTCTTAGGTTCCGTTGCACACCGTCCAGAACAGCGGCACTGCGTTGCCTGCGCCCTGCTTGTTGGTACCTCTTGCTTCAAGCGGGCACAGGGCGCATCACAATGGCATAGTATCAATTACATTGTCAGGGGTCGTGAGGCAGCGGGTCGAGGGGTCCTGTTGCGCTCTTCAATCTCAGGTGGTGCATGCTGCTGCCTTTCACCCTCAAAGCCATATGTCTTGACAGTACGGGGGCACCACACTCATCAATACGCACCGCCCACCAAACCTAGCCAGCCAGCCGCCGTTTCACGTGCGCAGCCCAGAACAGCGCAAGCCGGGGGAACAGACGGCCGCCGGCCTTTGATGACTTTTGAGGAGGCGTCAGGCTGACGTCAAGTCCACGCCAGATGTGTCGGTGATGTGTCCCTCTTCTGAGGAGGGACCTCACGCCAATGTAATTTCAGACCGCCCTCGCTGCCACGCCTGAGCGGGGCTGGCGCAGCGGCACACTGCCACAGCACTGATGCGCGCCCCACACACAAGCACACATGATAATAGCTGGAAAGCGCCAAACGGGGCGGCGGGCCGTGAGAGAGGGGTGGCCGCAGCCCTCTGAGACAAAGAGGGCGGGCGCGTGCGCATGGGGGCGTGTGGTGCCCGCGCGAGGGGGCCTCGCGGCGCCCCCCTCGGCGCGGGAAGCCCGGTTGGGCGACTGCGGAGGTGGATTGAGGGCGCCGCGAGGCCGCGCCACGCGGGCCCCTGCGCCTTCAAACAAACAAAGATCGCAGGCAGGCCGCGCAGCAGCCAAAGGGCCTGCACAGGAGGGAAGGAGTTCGGGGGCACGTCGGCCCTCTTGAATTGTTGGTTGCGTCAGCGGCGGCAACTTTGCCACACTGCCGATATCAGGGTGTGCGCACTGCTGGCCCACAAAGCGGGCAGGCGGCTGCTGCCTCCGTGCAGGCCGGGTGACAAAACAATAGGCAAAGGTTGGAGCCACGGCGGGCGCGCCACAAGCCTTTGCGAGGCGGGCTGGCCGTTGAGCAAATGCGTGCAAGGCTTTTGCTTGCAGTTGCTCAACCTCCGTAGGTGATTTGGCACGGCTGTGAGGATGGCTTAGCCCGGGCTTGGAGGGCAAAGCCATGCAATCTGCGGCCGCATCAACAGGGGCGCGCAACACATCCGGTGCATCACGTTTTGGTTGGCAAGGCAGCGGCAAGCGGCAAGGGCAGCAGGCAGGTTGCGGGTCAACGCACGCACGACCACACCCAACAAGGGCCCTGGGCAGGCGGCGGTGATTGCAGCTTGAGCTAATACCAACAGCGACTACTGCAAATAGGTCTACAGCCAAAGGCGCGAGCAAAGGATAGGGTAGGATATTCAATATTCAATACCTAGAAGGGCAGCGCGCCACACCGCAGGCGGGGGGCTCAGGCGCGCCGAAACACAAGGACCCCGTAGAACCCCAGAGGTGGTACAGCAGGTGAGGGGAAGCTTCCGGCCCACGAGCCCTCGAGGGCGCTTCCCCCGCGCCACAGGGACACTGGGCCGCCGCAATCTGCAATCGCTCTCAACAGGGGGGCGCTCGCTCGTCAAACGTCCCACGCGGCGCACGAAGGGTGCTGGGAGGCCAGGAGCGCGCACGACATGCTATCGCCCGCTGCGAAATCCAGTGCGGGGCGCGACCTATACACAACGCGTCAAGTAAAGGCCTGCAAAAGGCTCTGCCACGCGCCGTGTCTCGTGAACGGCATATATATGGCAGTGCCATCGGACCGGCGCAGGCCAGCGGCGAGTTTGAGGAGACGGCAGGGGCGTGGCGCCGAGCTTGTGTGTTCCTATAGTGAACGCGCGCAGGTCGCCTCTGGACGTCCCTGCTCCAAGCCGCGCGGCCGTGCCGCGGGGCCGGCCACCCTCGCCTCGCCCCCCTGCGACAGCCCCGCGCGCCGATCACCCGCGCAGCCGCGCCATGAGGGCTGCGACCGCCTGCTTCTCGCGCTTCAGCACCTCCGCCCGCCGCGGCTTCATCGTCCTGGTCAGCGTGCCGTCCTCCGCCGCCAGCGGCCGCCGCACCACCAAAAAGTGGCCCACAAACTCCTCGGGCCGCGCGTCGGGCCGCGCCGACGCGAGCGCGCGCGCCGCGTCCCGCTCGAGCAGCGCCTGCACGCGCGCCGCCTCGTCGGGCCCGCCGCGGGGGGCGCCGTCGGGGGCGGCGGGGCCGTCGATTACGCCGTCCGAGGTTAGGGCCTCGTCGTCGACGAAGAGCAGGGCGCCCAGCTCGCGCTTGTCCTGGCCCACCAGTATGGCGTGCCTGGGGGTGGCGGTGGTGGGG